TTAAGACCAAGAAGATCAAGAGTTTTGCTGTGACATTGGGTATCCAAGTAAAATCAGAAGCTATACCCATAAAGTCACACAAACATAATCACATAAACATGAGCAGAACAAGTACAGCAGCAATAGACATACAAACTTGATAGCATAAGACCTGAAGACCTCAGGCCTACATAAGAAACAATAGGCAACCAAAGAATACTGAGAGTGGCAGAATAGACTTTTGCTAGGATAACAACTAGTTATGTAACAGTATCATCTAAAAAACAATAACATAGACTAAGCATGTTGTGTTTGAGAACATGTGTGTGTGTATGTTTGTGTGTATGTATGTTTGTGTGTGTGTAAAACATCAATTGGTGATAAAAAGTGGAAATTAATGTGAAACAAAGAAAGCAGGGAGACATAGGAGGGTTTGAAATGAGGAAAAGAAATAATTATGTTATTATGCAATAATTTCAGACTTAAATAACTGCATAAAGTAATTGTAACATTCTTAAAATGATACCAGATACCTATTTTAAAAATGAAGCCATTTAAGCTTAAATGTAAGTGAGCAACAAAGATATGCCATTCTATGAAATGAGTACATGTTTACAGAATATTTTTCCCAATATTTATGGCAGAGAAATAACCCAGACACAGAACAATGGATGAATTGTTCATGAAACTGTGGCAGTCACATACAAAACATAGTTACTCAACTGTTAAAAGCAAGGACTCCTAGTTATTTGTTGTAGTATGGATGATTTAATGTACATTATCCCATGTTATATAAGATGAATGCAAGGAAAAACAATCACATAATCTCATTTAGAAATGGAATGTGATTTACAGTCAATATATAGAGAACAACATGATAATGATTAACATTTCTTTTGGTGAGAAGAGGAGAGAGAACACATAGCAGAGATCAATAATATTGGGTAGCATAAATGTAAGATGAAGTAAAATCCTCACTTTAGATCATTTTTCTATGGCTGTGATGAGACTTCATGAACAGGGCAGCTTACCAAAGAAAATATTTAACCTGGGGACTGATAATTCTACTGTTAGAGTCCATAAATATTATGAGTGAGAGCATGGGAGCAGGCAAGCCTGACAGTGAAATAGCCAGATACCTGACATCTAATCCACAAACATGAAGCAGAGATATAGTGATGGAAAGAGAGAGAGACATAGAGAGACAGAGAAGAGAGGCAGAGATAGACAGAGAGGCAGAGAGAGACAGACAGAGACAGAGAGAGACAGACACAGACACAGACACAGACACAGACACAGACACAGACACAGACACAGACACAGACACAGACACAGACACAGACACAGACACAGACACAGACACAGACAGCAAAAAAGAGCCACAAACAGAGACAGAGTAACAGAGATAAAAAGAGAAAAAGACAGAAAGACAAAGAGGCAAGACAAAAACAGAGAAAGATAGACAACAAGAGTACTAACTGGAAATGGAATAGGTTTTTTAACCCTCAAAAGCTCACCCCAGTGACTTCCTCCAACAAGGCCTTATGACCTTTAGAAAAATATTCACCCAACTTTGGAACACCCATTCAACTACAAGAGCCTACTTAGAACATTCTTAATCAATAGGCTTGTAGCCATGTCATAATGGAAAACAGTTCAGTCCAACTACAAATCTTCCTTTAGTCTATCTAACACACAGTTTAAAAGTCCAAAGTCTTTTCTGAGGCTAAGGCAATCTTTTAATTGTAACCCATTGTCAAATCAAAAACAAAGCAAATGTTTCCAAAATACTGAGGTGCAGATCATACATTACCATTCCAAAAGGGTGGAATGGGGGTAAGTGAGGATACACTAGGTCAAAGCAAATCAAAATCCAACAAGGCAAACTCCAAATCCTGTAACCCCATGTCTTGGTGTCAATAGACTGATAGGATTCTGCACTTTCAGCTCTAGGACTGCAACACACTTCTCTCTCTTTAACTGATTTTGCTTTCTTTATGAAGCTCTCTTTGACAGTTATACTATACTGCTGACTTCTTCAATACCTTGGGATCTCCACTGAAATGTAGGCTTCATTTCAGAGACTAATGCAATGACATATCCAGGCCTCCATACAGCAACTGCCTAGAAACAAACCTTGCCTCAGTGGCTTTGCTTAACCTAGGAGAGAGATTCCACAACCTCTTTATTTCTATATCCTTCTTGATTTGAAGGCCAGAGAAACATGGCTAATGTTGCCCAATTTCTGCTACCTTGTTAGTATTGGACCTGACTAATTCCATGATTTACATTTGCATAATCTTTAATTTCTTAGTTTCATATGTTGATTGAGTTTTTCTTTGTTTTGGGAGAATCTTTATGCATTTCCTTTTTGCAAGTAGAAAGCTTAGCTGGGTGAAGTCTTGCCTGGAGCAGCCCTCCCTTTGTTTCATTTTTCATCATGCCTTTCTCTGAATTACTCATCCATTTGAACACAACACTTGGCTCCAACATTAAATTTCATGATGTTCTTTTGTTCCTCACATTGTATATTTTGTGGTTATTTTTGCCATACTTGCTCGAATTTAGCTTCACTCACATTTTAGGATGGGGCAAAAAGTAGTCACATTATTTGCAAAATACCACAATAATGGAATTTAGCCCAGGAATATCATTGTTTTCTTTTGACATTCCATGAGTTGATGCTTATAGTCCATACTGTATGCAGCATTACTATCAAGCATCTACTTAAGGCCCATTTATAATATTCAACTGCTACCCTAGTCCAATATACTCAATTCTTCCACATTATCCCAAAATGCATCATAATCAAGCCTATCACAGCAATATCCCAATCTTTTGCAACAACTTTTGTCTTGATTAGTTTTCTACTTACCCTGAACAAGGAAACTTCTAAAAAACTCAGTTGAGGGTTGATCATTACCAAGGGTTAGGTTCCATGAGCATTATAACAGAACATGGCAGTAGGGCAGCAAATATGCAAGGATGACACTGTTGCAATAGCTAATTGTAAATGTCTGATCCACAAGCATAGCATAGAGATAAAGACACATGGACACACACACACACACACACACATACACGCACACACACACACACAGAAACACACACACATACACACACATTCACACACACACATACACACACACACAGAGAGAAACACACACACACATACACACACATACACACACACACACACATACACACACACACATTCACACACACAGGGTAAGGAATGGAAATTGCATGTGCTTTTGAAACTCAAAATACAGTCCCAGTCACACATCTCCTCCAATGAATCCTATCTCTTTCTCATTCCCAAACAGCCCCACCAAGTATGGACCAAAATTAAAGTAAATGAGCCTATGTAGACTGTTCTCACTCAAACTACCACAGAAATGAACAGCATGAAATCTCTAAGAAGTAAAAGTGCATTGCATATAGGACTGTTTATAATTATGAAATTTTTGCCACAAGGAAAAATATTAGTTTATAAGTAAAATGGTTAGTTTGTTCAACAATAACAACCTTTTGACCACATCCATGCCAATCTTCATGATACACAGCGTGATGACTAAAGGGAATGGAAATGGGGAGAGATATCTTTTTTTGTCTTGATTACTTCACACTCCCTTAAGAAAAAGTGTTGAACTGTTCTGCTTTGATTTGCCCATACTATGTTCACTTAATTTTGCTTCAGTTGAAAATGTCACATAGTACAGCTTTAAAATTGGAATATTATTTCATAGAAAATGTTACTAAATGTGCATAATTTAAGTAATAAATGCTGTTGGTTGAGGAGGATATTATAAACTTGAGACAGGTTTGATTTCAAGGGGACCTAGTCTAGAGGAGCTCATTGGAAATTTGTCATGAGAGACTAGACATTCAAAGATAAGGGTCATCACTGTAAGATTTTGGTGCGCAGCTTGGAATAGACCACAGCAGACCAGATGGTTCCACGAGGTGGGGGGGTTATTTATGGCAGAGGGCAAAGGTGGGAAGAGAAGATGTGAGGGGTGGGAAGAGAGAAGAAAAGAGAGTTCTGCCTATTTATATGAGCGATGATGTAGCTCTTTTCCCAGGTAAAGGTGAGGTAGCCAGGTGAATTCTGGTTGTGTACAGCGGTTGCCTTGGCAACAATGTGGGAGTCGCTTCAGTCACTTAGTCGCCTAGATGTGACGTCACTGAGTTCAGGGCTGACACCAACAATCATGGCAAAGACAAGAGAGGAAAGAGACAACACTTTACCATGGGATGCCAAGCATGACATTGTGAGGAAAGAAAACCTCATAGGACAGTCTCTCTCCACCTTGAGATGCTCACAGATGTTGAAGTATCTCAGTACAAAACCTGACAGCCTTCTTCCAATGCTGAAAATGAAAGATACAGTGAACTTGAAGGTGAGGACTCCACTGGGTGAATAGAGATTTAATAGACTTCTTTCTTGGGAATATATATTTGATTATTAGACACTCTATATAAGAAAGAGCATCACTTCATATATTCTTTGTAACCTGAACAAGTCAACGAGGACTAAAATTATATAGTGTATCTATTTAACTCTGGAAACACTGACAAAACAGTATTTTTCTAAAATATCTTTTGCAATATCTAACCACTCTTTAAGTACTATAAATTTCAGTAATTCAAGAAATGCAGCGCTTACCTGACCTTCCTTTTGCCTTCTAGTGAAGAATGGATTTATCAACAATGGTCAACAGCTCTACTCATCCCTAGAATACTTGCAAGTAGTCCTATTAAAAGGAGATGCTAAAGCCCTCAATAACATAGCAACAGAAATGGCACAGTTAGTATTTGTATGACAAGTCCTATATCTTTCAACTATCACAAACATTATTGTTTTTTTTAATGATTGAAGATTAAGTAACAAACTGAATAAGGTTGTTAAAATAGCCCACAAAGATAAGAAAAACATATTCTCTCTCAAGACCATTTCTGTCTAATCAAAGCAGCTGTCATCTTCTGCACTAGATTGTCTCCAGTTCTTCATGATTTCCTTAAGAACCACTCTCAACACCTTCTTTCTCCTCAGGAGTGTCCTGCATGGCTCTCTCCAGAAATAATTTGAGAGTCTTCATCTTGAAACTACTATGGTTCGTAATGGAGCCAACAAGGAAGTAAATGATGGGGTTGGCACAGCTGTTAATACAGGATAGAAAAATTATTTCATCATAAATATAACAATATCTGTCAATCCATTGGTCAAGCAACCAGTAGATCCCAAAGGGAAGATCAAATATCAGGAAGAATAGCACTGTGAGTGCAATGGTCACATACAGCCTGGTCACAGGGATCCGCTGGGAGCCACAGAAGATTCTGACAAGTAGGATGAGGCTGGACCCACAGAGAACCACAAATAAAAGAATTGTCCATACAGTAATGATGATTTCAAGTGTCTCAAAAGTAAATGTCCAAGAAAAGCGAAGATAAGGAAACAGTAAATAATATGTCTTCCCATCCAGAAATGTAAACACCAGGGACAGAGCCCAAAGCAAGACACAGATGACAGCTGATGTATGTCTTGGACATTTACAGTGATACCAGATGGGCCACATAACAGACAGGCATCGTTCAACGCTAATGGTTGTGATAATGCTCAGGCCTAAAAGATATGGAAATGTTGGCATAAAAGTTAAAAATGATATCATGTCAATGGAAATGGAGTCGATGGTGTAAATGATAACAAGAACACAATATACAAACTGAGAGAACAGGAAGAGAAAATCAGCCACAGCAAGGTTGAGGATGTAGACTAAGAAGGCATTCCTGTGCATCTGGAAGCCAAGCAACCACAAAACTATGGCATTTAGTACCATCCCAAAGAGGGAAGTGATGAGGGAAAGCAAAATCATGGTTTGGAACTTGATGTCACAATATGAAGTATCATTGGGTCCATTAAATGCTCTGATGTTAGTTTCCAAGGTTGAGATGCTTATATCCTTGCTTAGGAAATCTCCAGTACTGTTCCTGGAACAAAATAAACAAAATACATGAGCACATGTTATGTTCTTTCTGAGTTAGGAACACTCTGCTATGTGGTAATTACTGACCTGGTTCATAAGGAGGATAAACAGGATTAGAGTGATTAAGTAATTTATCTAAACCAGTATTTCTGGAGCCTTAATTTATAGTCACAGTGCAATTATTTGCAGTATCTACAACCTATGTCCTGTACAGATATTAGTATAGTTGTGTCCCCAGTATAGACACTCAGTTTCTCAGGTTTTGTCAGAAGAAGACCTCTGAACCCAACTTCCTTTCTGTCCTAAGGCTGTTTCTTCTCTGCTGTATAAACTCAGGAACAAAAAGAGAAGAATGACCCACAGCTGTTCTCAGTCATGGCAGGAGTAGGCTATCAAATGGAGAAATATGGAAATCATGAGTGACAGTCATGAAAAGAATGCTGAATCCTGTTAAGACTAGAATGAAAAGAGCCAGTTGTATAGGCTAGAACAACTCAGTCTCCATTGCAGATTTGAAATTAGAAAGCAGGAAAGTCTTTGTGGACATTAAACACTTTATCATTGTCTGTTTCTATATCACAAGTGTACATTTTTCTATTGAGTCACATTAAGTAATTGAGAATTTTTACTGACTTATTATTATTCAAAAATTATATATATATATATGTATATATAGATCACAGACTTATTTATGTGATAATTATTCACAAATGAATAAATTAATGATAAATCCAACAGTAGTTACAACTCTAAATGAAATGTTTTTGAAACTATTTTAGAACAAGTACCACAAAATACATAGAAGAATGAAGAAAATATCATTACTGGTGGTTCTGTCTAAGGAGGAAAGTATGTGTTTAAAAAAAATTGTTCATGTTGCAAGATGGATAATGAAGGTATTTCTCATTCGCCAACCCAAGAATGTTTGTTAAATGGCTATATATATGACCTAGAAGTATTTCAACCCAGAATTTAGGCTTTGATTTTGAGATCAAGTAAAATTTTAACATTCTTGAGGATTAAACAAACAAATTTGGAGAAAAATAAAAAAGAAGGAAGAATGTAACAACACCAAATACCTGAGCTACAACTCACAGAGCCATATGAAGCTCAAGAAGAAGGAAGACCAAACTGTGGATGCTTCAGTCCTACTGAGAAGGAGGAATAAAATAATCATGGGAAGGGCTTGAAAGGAAGAGATGAGGGAGAGGGGGAAAATGGGACAGGATCAGGTTGTGGAGGAGACAGGGGAGATGTACAGAGGGTCAGGAGATTGAATAGAGATATGTAGCAATGGGGGATGGGAAACTGGGGGTTGCTACCATAATGTCCTAGATGCCAGGAAAGCAAGAGGTTCCCAGGACACAATCGGGAGGCTATTAGCTGAAATATCCAACAAAAGGGAGAGAGAACCTCTAGAGACCATATCCAGAGGTAAGGCATGGCCCAGAGTTGAGGAAGGGAGCCACCCACCTATCTTAAAATTTTTAAACCAGAATTGCTCCAGTCTAAAGGAAATACAGGGACAAAGAATGGAGCAGAGACTTAAGGAAAAGTCATTCAGAGACTCACCCACCTGAGGATCCATCCTATATGCAACCACCAAGCCCAGACACTACTGCTGATGTCAGGAAGTGTTTGCTGACAGGAGCCTGGTATAGCTGTACCCTGAGAGGCTTTGTCAGAGCCTGACCAATACAGATGATGGTGCTCTCAGCCAACCATTGAACTGAGCAAAGGAATCACAGTGGAAGAGTATATGTAGCAGAGGATGGCCTTATCGGGCATAAATAGGAGGGGAGGCCTTTGGTCCTGTGAAGGCTTGATGTCCCAGCATAAGGGAATGCTAGGGCAGTGAGGCAAGAGTGGCTGGGTGGTTAGTGGAGCCTCCTCAAAGAAGCATGTGGGAAGGAGCTGGGATAGGAGGTTTCCAGAGGGTAAACCTGGTAAGGGGGGAAGATCAATGGAATAGAATTGAAGACCCAGAAATGAACCCACACTCCTATGGTCACTTGATCTTTGACAAAGGAGCTAAAACTGTCCAGTGGAAAAAGGACAGCATTTTCAACAAATGGTGCTGGTTCAACTGGAGGACAACATGTAGAAGAATGAAAATTGATCCATTCTTATCCCCTTGTACAAAGCTCAAATCTAAGTGGATAAAGGACCTCCACATAAAACCAGATACACTGAAACTAATAGAAGAGAAGGTGTGGAAAAGCCTCGAATACTTGGGCACAGGGGAAAAGTTCCTGAACAGAACTCCAATGGCATATGCTCTAAGATCGAGAACTGACAAATGGGACTTCATAAAATTGCAAAGTTTCTGTAAGGCAAAGGACACTGTCAATAGGACAAAACGACAACCAACAAATTGGGAAAAGATCTTTACCAATCCTTCATCTGATAGAGGGCTAATATCCAATATATACAAAGAACTCAAGAAATTAGACTCCAGGCAACCAAATTACCCTATTAAAAAATGGGGTATAGAGCTTAACAAAGAATTTTCAACAGAAGAAACTCGAATGGCCGAGAAGCACTTAAAGAAATGCTCGGCATCCTTAGTCGTCAGGGAAATGCAAATCAAAACAACTCTGAGATTCCATCTCACACCAGTCAGAATGGCTAAGATTAAAAACTCAGGTGATAGTAGATGCTGGCGAGGGTGTGGAGAAAGAGGAACACTCCTCCATTGTTGGTGGGATGCAAGATGGTGCAACCACTTTGGAAATCAGTGTGGCGGTTCCTCAGAAAATTGGACATAGCATTACCCGAGGATCCAACTATACCACTCCTAGGCATATACCCAGAAGGTGCTCGAACATATAATAAGGACATATGCTCAACTATGTTCATAGCAGCCTTATTTATAATAGCCAGGAGCTGGAAAGAACCCAGATGTCCTTCAACTGAGGAATGGATTAAAAAAATGTGGTATATTTACACAATGGAGTATTACTCAGCTATTAAAAACAATGAATTTGAGAGGTTCCTAGGTAAATGGATGGAACTAGAAATTATCATACTGAGTGAGGTAAGCCAATCACAAAAGAACACACATGGTATTCACTTACTGATTATTGGATATTAGCCCAGAACCTTAAAATGCCCAAGATGCAACTCACAGGCCACATGAAGTCCATAAAGAATGAAGACCAAGTGGGGGTGATTCGGTCCTTCTTAGAAGGAGCAACAAAATACTCAAGGGAGCAAATATGGAGACAAAGCGAGGGACAAAAACTGAAGGAGGGGCCGTCTGAAGACCTTTCCACCTGAGTATCCATCCCATGTGCAGTCACCAAAGGTAGATGCTGATGTGGAAGTCAGGAAGTGAATGTTGATAAGAGCCTGATATGGATGTCTCCTCAGAGGTCTTCAAGAGTCTGACATATTCAGAGGCAGATGCTCACAACTAGCCATTGAAGTGATCATGGGGTTCTCAATGGAGGAGTTAGAGTGAAGACTGAAGGAGCTGAAAGGATTTGTGGCCCCATGAGGAGAGCAACAATACCAACCAACCACAGCTCCCAGGGTCTAAACCACCAGCCTGGGAGCACTTATGGAGGGATCCAGGGCCTTAGCTGAATATATAAGAGTGGAGGGCCCTGCTGGGCACAGGTGGAAGATGAGATCCTTGACCTCATGAAGGCTGGACGCCCCAGGGGGTGGGAGTTTTGAGGGTGGGGAGGTGGGAGTGGGGGGGTAGATAGAGGTTACATCCACAAAGAAGAAGGAGGAGGTGTGAGGGGATTGGGGGTTCCTGGGTGGGTGGGGGATGGGGTAAGGGGACAACATATGAAATGTAAATAAAACATCCAATAAAAAAATTAAAAAAAATATATAAATAAATAAAATAACCAATAACAATGATTATTTAAAAAAAGATAGACAAAAGAAAAAACGAAAAAATGTATCTGCAGGTAAATACTTTATGTACCTGTTGTAATTTGACTTTGAATAGCCATGGAGATTGTTAGACAGGTATCCTGTGACACACACACACACATACACACACACACACACACACACACACAGGCACACTATATGTATGTATGTATGTATGTATGTATGCATGTATATTTGTATGTACTATGTATGTATACATGTATGTATGTGTATACATATGTATATATATATATATATATATATGTGTATATGTACACACACACACACACACACACATTATCAAGGAGTACCCAGAGACCTAAAATCTGTACAGGCACTGCACATTCCCTTTGTTTCCCCATCATAACTGTATGTTCAGACCCTATTATGACACTATACATACACATTGAATGTACAAGTTATATAGAATAAGCTGGTACTGATATGATTCTTGCCCTGATGGCTAGCTTTCCCAGTCCAGCTATGAATGCTCCTGTGGGTCAAACCATGTCTATGATCTTACTCAGCTATGAATTCCGCACTCTATGAGACCAAATTGCCCGGTAGGATATACACCCTTGTGCAATTGTGGCAGAAGAGTTTTGAAGGTAATTAGCTGCATTATGATTGTATTTCAAGCCATAGGCAGTAGTGTTTACTTTAGCATTGGAAATCATATACGAAAGCCAAGTTTGGGAAAATAATATGCGTTATAGTGAAACTGAATTCAGTTTTTGAACTAATAGACATAGCATTGAGCTGCTCTCTGAATATTTCTCTTTATACTCTGGCATATAGCATTACATACAGCCTTAATCAGAGAAGCTTATTTTTTGACAAAATTGTTTTAAATAAAGGGATTTATGACAGCACAAGTTACTGAGGATAAACAACTGTTGAATGTTTAGCTCTAAGAAAGTCATTTAGATTATCTTGCTTTAGTTGCAGGTAACTTTGCAGAAGAAAAATATATGTAAGAGCAGGGAAGATAAGGAGAAGAGTTTCAGAATGACACCACCAAGACACATTTATTCTAGTCACAGACTCAGAGTTCTTGGGTATACCCACAAAGGCTGTGCATAAAAATTTTCCCATTAATAGCCAGGCATGGATTTTGAAAGTGTTACATATCTCCACTGAATAATTGACTAACAGCAGTCTCAAGGATAGGAAAACTCATTTCCTTCATTCAGGTACTCACTAGTAACCAAAATAGGTGCCAATAGATAATTCAAATCACCCAGTTGGCATACATGATAAATATTACAAAAGAAAACTATAAGTCATAATCTCAAAAAGGAACTGATGGGATATTGACAGAGATGGAGGTAAAGTTGACAGAGCTGGGGAGAATACTCAGAGTATACACTGTGGCATAAATAAAATGATCAAAGAACAAAATAAGTCAATATTGAATGCCTAGAGTAAAACACTTGTTGTGTGCAATCACAACAAAAGCCAGCTCTGGGTGTAGATGACGTCTGTTTTACAACAGTTGATAAAGCTCCATACTCAATGTCATTTTTACAGCTTGGAGGTAAGTTAGACATGCCATGTAACTTTCCATAAATATATACATTATTCACAAATTATATTAATTAGATTGCTTGCAATCATTTATTTTTTAACATGTTTCTTTTTATTAATTGGTTATTTTATTTATTTACATTTTAAATGTTGTCCCACTTTCCAATCCTCCCTTCCACAACCGCACTCTCTTTCACCTCTAAGAGGTGATCCCTTATCTCTCTATTTTCCCCATATACTATGACAACAAATCTCCACACATATGTTTCTTACTGAGATGGAAATCTACAAAACAATGTACTCTTTCCACTGCAGAAAACACAGGTGATTGGGGTACTGACAAAACTGTGCTTTTAAGAACAGTGCCAGTATCCATATTGGCAAGTCAAAGAGAGTGGCAGAGTTATCACAATAGCAGCATATTTGAATAGATTGGGAACTACAAGAAAGAATATTACTTTGATTCACAAGCTACCGTAAGTCCCATCTGCAACCCAAAATACTGTCATGAAGGATATTTGATGACTTCTGAAGAAACGCGTGAGAGTCCCTGGATTCTCCACCTCAAGATGTAGTTATATGGTCACATTATAAGAAAAATAGGTAATAGCTTTAGGAATAATGTTTCAAAAAGCATCTTACCTTCCTTCCATTCTTATGTGTGGTGATAAGCTGTATGTGACAAACATACATCTCCAGAGTCAGTTGTCAATAAGAAACATGCTTAGTAGAGAGACCGCATGGAAGCTGGTTCTTGTGGGAGATTTCTTAGGTGAAGAATGACCTGTAGTTTCTTGTACTTGGATCTGCCCTGCATATCACTCCTTTGAGCCATGCTCTTCATAAGCCTGTTATCAGCAATTGGCCAGTATCCCATCTCTCATTTTCAGGTCATACCTATAGCACCTCTTCACTGTCAACGCTTGCTTTTTTTTTTTACTTCTTATGTCCAGAAATTGAGCAATGTCAAGCAAAGTGAGCCAGTGCTATAGCATTATCTGAGTATCTAAATTTATGTTTGCACAACTAAAGTATGAAGAAACAATAAACTATGAGGATAATGATCATATCAGGTAGAATTGCAGAATAGTGATTGGAAAATGCTTCAGATAGGAGTTTAGGTTTTGAAACTAGAAGATTTCCTTCTGTAAGAAATGTAGCCTAGGCAAAGATTCAGGGAATGTGTGCCCTTCAGGTTCCTGGGACACCCTCCTTTTCTGTTACATTGGCCAAGAATGAGGTCAACTCAGCATACAGCAGTGGGATCAAGAAGAAAGAACTCAAGATGTTGTCTTTAGAGTACTGGCTAAATTTGCTTCTCCAGAGTAAGAAATGAAGGAAATGTGTGCATGTGCCAAGTAATAGCAGACCAAGGTGCTAGAGTTTTTAATCTGTCACTCTTCATCTTATATCTCAAATCAAGGACTTCCACAGGAAACCATAAGTTAGCTGTTGAGCTATTCTACTTAATATTCTTTTCCCAGAATCTCAACTGCTGAGAGTATAGGCAGGCTACCAATCTGCATCAATGTGGGTGATTAGGGATTTAACTTGGTTGCTTGAAATTTCATGGTAAGTGCTTTATCCACTGAGGCATCTCCTATGTCTAGTTAGGATATTTTTTTATGGGGAGAAAATTCCACTAAACTGATAAGGACTTTGTTTGTTAAAACGTATCTCCTCACCCAGAGTAGAAACTCCATCAGTGTTCCACTGTTTCCTGCCTTTCCAGCGTTCCCAGCAGAAGACTAGTTCCACTGTAACCCTCCAAAATATTGTTATACAAAGAGCTATGTTGAATCACCTAGAAGGTCTGTCACTTATGAGGTGATGACATAGTGTTAAAAGTCAGCACAGAAATAGATGTGGATGTTTGCACAACTATTGAGAGAAGAAAGATTAGTGAACCCCAACACTAACCAAGAAAATACCCAAATCAGCCTGAACCTAGAAGAGTAGGGTACAACAGTTGCATGAAGCCTGGCTACCAATGAGAAAGAACAGAAGCATGAGCATCCCATAAAGCTTTGTGATACATATCTGCCTGGAACTTCAAAGGTACTGACCTGCAGAGGCAGACAAAGTCCAGAGAAAACAAACAATAAAATAATCAGGTATTGCCTGTGATGATATAATTTGACAGATGCAACTAATAGCCAATTGTTTGACGGATCCAGCCATATCAGGTTTTTATAGCATTCTAAGCAACGGAGATAGAATCCACAGCAGGAAAAATGCTAGCTGACCTGTGTTTTAGAAAGAATTAGTGATGCTATATAGGGTACAAGATGAGCAGGGAATGCACAGTCGTAATGACACTGAGCATGCTCAGGACTGCAGTGTAGGGAGAACATGACATACTGGTGATGAATCAAGAGATGAAGACATTATGATGCAGAAGGTGACTGAGTTTTCTTATCATGGCACCAGTTGAAGTAGAAGTCATCCCATAAAAGCTTGAAGCTTTCACATAGAGAAGACATCCTTACCTATACATAGTCCTAATAGGAAATAACAGACCATTTCCTGCCAGATCCAACAAAGCGTTGAGGGTCAGCAAATTCAATGAAGGGAGTCTTCTTATCCTGGGCTCTCCATACTTTGAGAAATGTCCTTTAATGACATTAGAATGCTCAATAATCCCAATAGTCTACTTCAATGCCCTAAGCCCTATTATGTCTTGAAAGCATGAGAAAGTTAGGGGTGTCTGTGTGAGTCAGTGACAAAACTCTGGCCTTGACTCTATCTTTGGGAACAGGATGAAAAACTGGAATTTTCAATAATGAAAAAGTATACATTTTGTGACTGGGAAGGTCCATCCAGTATATAATATGATGATAATGATGGATATTTATGAAGGTAATATTACCTCTTTCTTTTTTTTTTCTTTTTTTTTTTATTGGATGATTTATTTACATTTCCTATGTTGTCCCCTTACCCCATCCCCCACCACCCCCTCGGAACCCCCAATCCCCTCGCCCCTCCTCCTTCTTCTCTGTGGATGTAACCTCTATCTACACCCCCCCCACTCCCACCTCCCCACCCTCAAAATTCCCACCCCCTGGGGCATCCAGCCTTCATGAGGTCAGGGTTCTCTTCTTCCACCTATGCCCAGCAGGGCCCTCCACTTTTACATATTCAGCTGAAGCATTGGTGGCTACCTCTTTCTTAAGCAGATACAGAGATTGTCATATTCTGTGAGTACAAAATGGCTATGGGTAAATGACAACCTTTTTATTTATTGTGGTTTGCAAAAGCCTATATCTATATACTAGATATAAATAGATATAGATAGAAAATAGAAGGTGGTCCTGGAATATAGACTCAACAAATGAATAGCGATTGGAATTAGGAGTTAAAAAAGGAAGAGAGGAGAGTTTGAATATGGATTAAAAGAAAGAAAAACAGAAAAACAGAGAGGAGGAGGAAGTACATGCAGAATGGAGAGAGAAAAAGAGGGAGAGAAAAGATAGAGTATTTCTATAGCTGAAAATTTGGGTCAATATTGCACAAATATTTATGTTAATAAATTTAGTGGTTTGAGAAACTTAAACATAGATATGCATTCTGGGTATGGTAATTTTTATTCTCTGTTATACATCAGTTCCATTTTTTCTTATAAAAATCATTTTCATATTGATGAGATTTTGTTTAGTTTGGTGTTCTAGAGTTGATCTAGGATGATATGTGAGAACATGGTTTTGAACTAGCCATCACAGTCTTACAGGCTCAATGTGGCTACACAATGTGATACACTTATTTTTGTTTTTCCAAAATCAAATATTTGCTAACAGTTAAGCAGCCATGGCAGAGTCATGTGGGCCCTATCTCTATGCAAAGTTGGTGGTTCAGTGGGCCAAATTTGAATAGGTTCAGTTCCCACAGACAGAATTGCTGTGAGTTTATATTGCCATCACTATGCCATGTTTAAAGGATGGCATTTCACAACCCTTTTACATCGCTTAGGTTCTTATATTATTTCAGCCTCCTGTTTGGCAGCATTTCCAGAGTCTGCAAGTGGTACAAATGTCTTGTTTAGGCCTCAGCCCTATACTATCCTTTTTGCTGAATACCTGGCACATTCATGGGTCCCTGGAAGCCTGTCTATTTATTGTAAAGAGAAACTTATCAGATTAAGGCTGAGAGTAGCCTTTGTGTTATTGTGTAAAGGTCAGAATTTGAAGGTGCTTTCATACTGTGTCAAAGGAGATAGGAAACAGTAGTAGGTTTCTACCTAGAACTTAAGACTTTCTCAATTGTAGTTTCTTGAACTTATTTACAGGTCTGTGCATGAATATCTTTTGTGAAAAGTCTTAAATCCAAGCATGGAGTAGTTTGCTACTCACGTAATAGTCATGCCACTATTGCAACAAAAAACACATCTTGCCTGCCAGTTTGGGGATATATTTCATAGAATTCATAGCTGAGTAAGAAAATGACTCCTCTAAAATGTTGTCAATGCAAAGTTCTTATTATGTGTGATGAGTCCCTTGTGTTTGCAAATGGGGCTAATGTCTGTTATGAACATATCTTCTAAGCAGTGAGATGTAGTAGGTGTCATTACAGAGAATCTCAGGTCATATTTTATAAATGTGTTCATCAATGAACTATATTTTTGTCACTATTGTAGATGTAAAAGCAAATAGAGGAAAGCAATGCATCATGATCAATGAAGATAAGACAAGGCTAAGTCAGAGGTAATTATTAAGTGATTTTCTATACGGTCTTACTATAAGCAATTCTCTTACTTCTCTCAGGTGAAATGAATGGGGTTTTATTTCCAATTTAAATATTGTGAAGGAGAATTCATTAACAAAGTTAGTGAAAGTGGGAAAATGGGCCTATTAGTATGGCAAGCAAGTTTGTTAGGGACAAAAAAAAGCATTCATGTGGGTTTCAATGTGATAAGTGTAATGAATCATTTAAATATGAGTATGTGAATTTTGTGCAGGATGATGAATATGGATCTATTTTCATTCTTCTACATGCAGACATCCAGTTAGACCAGTAGCATTTGTTAAAGAGGCTTTCTTTATTCCATTATATGATTTTGGCTTCTTGTTAAAAGTTAAGTGATGATGATAGTCATGGTGGTGTATTTCTGGGACTTTGATTCAATTCCATTAATCAACCTGTCTGTTTGTATAGCAACAAGATGCAGCTTTTATTACTGTTGCTCTTTAGTACAGCTTGAAGTCAGGGATGGTGATACCTCCAGAAATTCTTTTATTTTTCAGATTGTTTCAGTTGTCTTGGGGTTTTTGTTTATTTTCTTTTCTGTTCTTTTCTTTCTCCTCTCTCTTTCTCTTCTTTCTTCTCTTTCTTTCTCTACTTTCTTTCTTTCTTTCTTTCTTTCTTTCTTTCTTTCTTTCTTCCTTCCTTCCTTCCTTCCTTCCTTTCTTTCTTCCTTTCTTTCTTTCTTCCTTTCTTTTTCTTCTTTCTTTCCTTTTTAAAAGTTATCTACTTAGTTCCATGTCCACTCAGTTCTCCAAAAAGTACTTAGTGACATTCTAATCTGTAAGAATATGTAAAACTTCAAACTGACTTCTTTGTATACTTTCCCTTGATTTGTCTATTTCTCCCTACACTTTCTTTTCTTTCTGTTTTTTTTAATTTTCTTTTTTCCCCAGTCTGCCTTCATATCATTTTAATT